GCTCAACCTCTGGTATTTCCATACTTTGAAGACCTTTATAATTCGCCAAAGCCACCAGATTTGCCAAAAAATATTCAAGAACAAAAAGATTTTTTTATGAGAACATATGATAAGAATTTTACTGATTATATGGTTGAACATCCAGATATATTTGATAAATATGCAGAAATTGAAGTTACAGCTAATTATCCATTTGAAATTTTCAGTTTGTAGATTTTAGCTAGGTTTTATTATGTTCAAAATTTTTAGAGGAATAACTTTTAACTTATTTTTAGGACGACAATGGGAAGCAGTAAAAGAAACAAATATTTTACCAATATCAAAAACAATCAAGGTCCCAACCTTACTAATTCATGGTGAAGATGATAATGTTATTCCAATTAAAGAAAGTGAACTTCTTGCTTGTGAAATTCCTAACAACAAATTTATTTTGATTCCCCAAGCTGGACATACGTAAGTATAGTTTCAAACCTTTGTTTCAATTTATTTTAAAAAACTTTACTAATTATTATTCATAAAATTTTTGTTTAATTAAAAAAGGTTTTGGTTTAGTGCATCGAAGTCTATAACCTTTATAAATGAATTTTTGTCTAACTAAAACTATAATAGCTAAAATTTTTTTTGGAGTTTGAAATCATACGATCAGATTAACTCTGTTACTGTAGCAAATAAATGTATTTTTTGAATATATTACCAAAGCTAATAAATTTTTTAGAATTATTGTTTTAAATTTTTATTAAATTATTCAAGCCTATTCTGTAAATAACTGGCAAAATCAAATTTTCAATAAATCTTCTATATAACTAAACTTATTTACTATATTTTTTGTTTTTAGCTCTTGTAATTGTTACAGATATTAATTTAAATTTATATTTATGAACAAATATATACATCGCACTATGCAATGCACTTGTATATTACACCTCAATATAAACAATAAAGTTAATTGTAAATCTGCGAAAAATAATATCACATCAAATCAGATTTTATATATAGGTTAAGGTTGATAGAGGTTAGGGTAGGGCATAGTATATAGTAAAATTTTGCAAGTAAATTTGTTATTAGAATATTAAAAGTTGTTGCACAAGCAAAATTTTGAGATATTATCAACTTTTTTAAAAATCCAAAAAATTTAACATTACATCTGATCTTTGCTATATATAATTTAATTAGATTGTGGTATATAAACGCATTGTATAGTGCGATGCTTAATTAAGTCCTATATTTATTTGTACACCACGGTGTGCCCCTAATCACATAATTGTTGTAAATAAGCCATTACACAATTTGTTTTATGGTAAACTACCCCAGAATTACCAAAAAAATTATTATGTAATTGTTACTATCACGTGATAATTGACAAATTTAATGTAATATAAAAATTTCAAAACAAATATTTGCTTAGTAAAAATTGCTTATAACTTAAAAAAATTACATAGAAAACTGCTTGCACATTAATAAAAAGTTTTTTAACCAATTTTACTATTAGAACTCAAAATCTTAACTCTAAAACTTTAATGTAAACAAAATTAAAAAAAATTTATTAGATATTATGTGATTGTAAAAATTTTTCTAACAATACTGAATATTTTTTGGCAAATCTGGTGGCTTTGGCGAATTATAAAGGTCTTCAAAGTATGGAAATACCAGAGGTTGAGC